CATCATTTTGAACAATACGAATAATTGTATTAATTATTGTCTATAACTGTCATATAGACAACTACTTGTCAGTTAGTACTTAAACTAACAATGTAAACCTCATTGGCGCATAATTTCGATATTATATTTTATATTTTTATAGGTACACCTGTTTTTTGTGCTGCTGACCTATGAAGCCATAACTAACTAACGCAAACCATGAATAATTTATTCATTGACGACCAATATAAATCACAATTGTATAACAATTAATTAAGGGGGTAAACGTAAATGTAGAGGTATTAGTATTGACAACCTACTTAATCCTTCCTCTGCAAAAAAAATATAATTACATGGCATAAAATATTCTTGTAAGAAATTATATTATCTCTGTTATAGTTTTAACACGGATGCCGGATTGTTTGAATCAAATCGTGCACTATATGTAAGGTAGGTATTATGTTTTAAGGAGTACCACTCTTCGTGGTTTTTATATACCAAGGAGGCTTGTTGCTGGGGATTGTTCTGCCCCCTCTCCACTGTTATAGTACACCTAATATAATTAGGCTTTATATATCAAAAATATTTTCAATGATGATAATATTATACTTTTAAAATTGTCAACATTTTTATTAATGTGATTGCTGAGTGCTGATATGAAAATACATACATACAATGAATCTATATAAGTTTTTGGAGGTTAACATTGTTTGAACCGATTGTAAAACCACGTAAATCTATACTCGATCTAGATAACCATGCATGTAACCTTCGACCATTGTAACCTTTTTCATTTGAATAAAGTAGCCCACAAGATATTTGTTTTTATTTGATAAAAATGTGTAACTGGTTGATGATTAAAAGTTAAAAATTTCAGGTATTAACCACCCTTTTTTATCAACAGGGAGTAACAAAGAATTTGTTAAGAGGAAGGTGGTCCAATACCTAAAAATTATTTTTTTAATTCGGTCCCCATGTACAAGTTTAGTTTACTTCATTACTAACAGATTATACTCGTAAGTAATAAACATATTTTATATATTGACGTAACCCAAACAAATACGTGTAATAAATGACAATTTATTTAGTGAATGATTTCAATATTTGAATAGTATGCATTAAAAGTTAAAACAGTATTTTGTAAAGCTATTAAGTACCTACACTTTAGATAATAACTGTCAAAAGTATCTGATACAAGCTTACAACAACGATGTATGTTACATTATTTGAAATCGACTGAAATCATAGTTAGAAAACCAAAATGATTATCATTGTTATAATATAAGGCACATAACGTTCAACTGGTATATTGTAGATCGACTACGTACCTACGCATGTACAGTTTCACAGTGATAAAAAATATATAATTGTAATCACTGCATGTAAAATAATGTAGTATCTAAAAGAGCACGTTACGGCAAATTTGAATGAAAACAATAATAATGTACGAAATATCTTTATTTGTGTGTAATCAATCTTTTTTTTTTCCAGTTGATAAAAATAAGAAAAACCTTCGACAACATTATATTTTTAACGCTTCGAAGCTTTAATAGACTTGTGACTCAATAAAGACATATCTTAATTTGACATATTTTTATTTTTATTTTTCACCAAAATCAAATATTTCCATAAAATTAATTTCTCGATGTATGCATTAGCTACCTAGTGTACCTACCCGCTGCAGTACATTATTCAAACCATCAATCATTATGTATGTACATTCGTACACCATGCCGTTCGTAAATCATTTATCACAATAATAATTTATAGATATTACGATATCAGTGTAATAACACGAATCCGCGTTGAACTCTTTCTCGTGCGACGACTGTACCAGCGGGGTATATAAAATACCGTGACGATGGGTGTGGCGGTAGCGATAGATGGACAAATTGCCGGTTATTGACGCACGCCGCACGTGTCCGGCACACGCACAGTATCAGTTACGCGTCCGCCGACGTCCGTTTAATTTTTTAACATAATATATTAATACAATATAACATAGAATAACGTACATCGCATCGCTACCCAATGGATACATAATTGGGTAGCCGAAACGCGTTTGACATTTTCAAGTTATCGGATTCGAGTCCAAAAACGGTTTCGGTTTTTCAAAAACATAAATGTTTAAAATAACAGTTATAATATTATTCATATAAATATAATAACAGTTTAGACTCAGAACCGAGATTTATAATAAAGTTAGAGGGTTGACTGTACTGAAATCGGACATCAGTATCACTGCAGAATAAATTTAATTTATTATAATATATTAAATTTATTGTGATAGATGTGTCAGTAGAATTGCGGCCTTAGAACCGGTATATCGAAAAAGCAATGAACTGTGACAATCTATCTTATTATGGCATTACTTCGGTTTTACTTCGGTATTGAACGGTACGTCGGTACATCGGTATCATTGGGTATAAGTACTCAATGGTTTTACACTATTATGGTTCCTAACGCTTTTTGATCTGTATTCGAACAATAACCGGTGAACCAATATAAGAAACCTTACCGAAAGACTGTCCACCCTATATAAAACCGTTTATTATAAACAAATTATAATAATATGTTCCAAAAACTAAAATATTAAAATGTAAATATGATAAAAGTTTTTTATTTTATCCCAACTTGTAAATGGATTCCAGCACACAATGACAATAAATTGTGAAATTCGAAACAAATTAAATGGTGGTTACTTGTTAAAAATGAATGACTGCCAAGCCTAAAATTTTGTAATACGGTACATTTTTGCAGTACCTATAATTTACAAATATTTTTTTAAATACCATACATTTTGAATAGTACCTATTACCCAAGATGTATACAATAAAATAATATGCTGTCACGGATTAGATGGTCGACGAGAGAATGAATGTGTATTATAATGTTATTGTGCTAACGACATTATTATTATATCATACTACCTATAATATGACATGTACGTGTATGATGTACGTACATTGAGTAGGCATACCATAATAAACGTGCCGTGCAGAGTTTGTTATGGTTTCACCTGAACTAAACAATAGCGTAAGTAAGCGAATATTTTACTACTCAAGTGTTAGAGAATTTTTATATATAAATCTAAAAATATGCTTCTTTGTACTAAAATATACTGTTCTAGTATATACTTATATTCTTTAAAAGTTATAAAAATGCACTTACTCATCAATATAATATATGATACAATAATTATTATTTTAATCCTAATGAACATATTGTTATACTGAGATTATAGTTGTATTATTCTTTTGTTATTATGTGTAATTCACTACATTTGTATTTTCAAATGTTTTTGATCTGAATCAAATTCTTTATACGAATGTTTTCAAAATTAAATACCTTCTTAACAATTAATAAGTCAAAAAATTAAAAAATGTTAAGCCATCGGTAATACGTAACGTACTACGTACCCATATGTTATCTGCTAACTGCTAAGTATTGTATTATAAATTTCAGAATAAAATAATAAAATAAAAATGTATTAATTATTCATAGATCATCAATTCAGATAGATACCTAACAAACACAATTTCTTATAACTATATTATGTTTACTGACCTAATTTATCCGATGTTTTACTTAAGATTTTCTGCTAAGCGTGATTTTAAACAAAAGTCGCTTACGAAAATCTCTAAAGAGTCATGAAAACGGCATGTCATATTTACTGAATAAAAAATAGTTATTTTTTATACGACAAACTCATGTCTGATCACAGCTTGAACGAACCCTGGGGACCAATCGTTTATATCAAAGCAGAGACCAATGTATTCATCATCCCCTTTCAGAATCCAGTAAATATTTTAGTTATTATAACTGTGCTTGCTGGTCGAGTAATCAAAAATAAGTTACTTATTTTGTTTATGCTTCACGTACAGTAAATTGTGCGTGTCAAAAAAGGTTATTATATCAATATCCGCCAAAAATATAATTGGTCTATATTATTATTTATTTTCATACAATGTAAAATATATTATGTATCAAAACGTCCAAAACATATTATATTTATTATATAATAATATTATATAATGTTATATTTATGTACATCAATAATGTAAGTACACAAACACCGGAACACACAATGTATTTATACACAAATATGAGATTAATAATATAAGTAAGACGATCAGTAAGATGGTGCACTGTAATCTTTAAATTTTAAATCTTTGTAAAGATAGTGCTGGATGTAGCAAAACAAAATTTGTTGTTATAATTAATTTTTTTTTTTATTGAACTTAAGCCCAGCGACTAAGGCCATTCGCTGTTGTAGGGGTTATGAACTGTGGTAGGGGTAAGGTTAGTACGGTAGGTTGTTTTTTACGATTGTTACGGTTGTTGCGGTAGGTAGAAAACACGGGTTTTTAACTACTTTGAATCCGGGTGGTCACCCATCCGGGAGCTAGTAGCTGTGGCCGTTACTTACTCCCAGTCGCATTCCGTGACTGGTAGCAGCCAACGCGCCACGCCGTTAATTTAACTAAATTTATTATTGTAATATAGTTTGCAAATATTTCTTGAGGTATCTTATCTTGCTATTTTCTGAATACTAAAATGTAAATAATATTGTAGCTGGTTCTTAATCTATAGCAGTGCTGCACTCGTTGATATTTTTTCCAACCAGAACTCCGAAGTTTTTCCAAATAAACATCGTTGTATAAATTGAATTCCCCCTGTGACATCAAGAATCTAAAATAAATATAAATGATATTTTTAAGTGATATCGTGCTAATAAACGAAATATATGTCTATGGTTAAAATCTTAATTATTTACCATACTGCAGTTTATTGAAAAAAATTGTTGACATTTAGGTTTGGGAACACATAAAACATGGTTTTTTATTGGATAAGAATGGTAAAGAATATGAACTGGTAAACCATTACCCGAGTACTAATAAGATATTTTTATATTAAATTAGTTCAAGTGTTCTTAGTGATAGTAAATAAAAAAATGTAATAATATAATTAATATAAGCATTAAACATATAATATAGTAACACCTATGGTATAACCTATAACTTACCTACCGACTACCTACGCAAATATTGAAAGTGAAAACTAACAAATTTCTTTTACTATTACTACTTAGGATATATCATAATGAGTTTATAACAAGAAAGAGTTTAAAATAGTTAAAATGTAGTCAAAATCTAATAATTTCTAATTTTAAATAAATCAATGAAACGTATTATTTGGCCAAAAATCACACAGAGTATTTTTATCAAATAGTAAACACAATAACATTTGTAATAAATACGCGGTCGATAGTATTTGTGCAATCAGTTTTTTAACGAACTTTTTTTTAGAACGTGAAATTATGGACAACAACGTAAAAATGTTTTCAGTATAAAATCCAAACACCACGCAAACGTTCCACATACAATTGTCCGTCGTCTGTCTGCTTTCTTCAGGGCTGTTTAGAAATGAACGCTTTAATAATAGCCGTGGCTGTGTTAGCCGCATCAGTGACTCTTTTAGTCGTCGAGGTAAGTGACGTTTTACAGCAATATTATAATAATTATTTCAATGAGAAACGTACATCATCGTGTCATATTATGCAAACTAAACTGCTTCCTAGTGTTTCTAGTGTTTCTCAACTTTTCAGTAATCTAGTATATCTAACTTTATCCAGTTATTGAGTCATAAGTTCGTATTATACAATATAAAAAAATTAAATTATATAATAATACAAAAAAAGGTACCTACACTAGGGAGTTGTCTAGTGTCGTTTAGCAGGGCGGGAAGTGAAATGGATCCACTTTGTTCCGGGCCTCATTTTAGGACTATTTTTAGGAGCTCCCTACAAAATTCCTGATAGACTTGTGTGGCAGTCAGATAACATAACACATACTTATAACTATAATTTTTAATTTTTATTTCTAAAATCTTTTTTACGTGAACTTTCATAACATCATTTCATTTTTGACATCATTTTATTTCGCTTCTATAATTTGTAATTATATTCCAAAATCAATTTGCTACTAGTCCCGAAAAACTTTGGCACGGCTCCGGGGTCGTCGTAAAAAAGTTGGGAAGCACTAGTCTAGAACGTTTTTATTTATTGTTTTTCTACCATCCTGCAGGCTACACCTGTTAACTCGTACAGAAATCCATCACCGTCATGTGGCACCGTAGAACCGTCTTGTGGAACAGTCGATCAGGACTCCAACGGAGGTTGCACCTGCAGTGGCTCGTGGCAGCCGCGTTGCTCCTGTCCAAATCCACAAAACTGTCCTCATCTGCGTCGCTACAATCTGCGGCCTTGCAGTTGCAAACCACAACTACCGACGACATACCATCTCCCGTCTTGCAGTGCCCCCCCTGTAGCAACGACACCTATCCCCTACCAGATGGTCCAGTACTCCCCGTGCCCGACTTCGTCCTCCCCAGACCTCCCCTCCACGGACTCGCGCCCCTGCCTGAGCCCCAGCCTTGCGCCTGTAGCAGTTCCAGCCGGTCCACCGTCTTGCGCCGCTCAACAACTGCCCTGTCCGTTCTGCGCATCTCAGCAGCAGCCGTCTTGCTCATGTGGTGGATCACCCTTATCGGTTAACTGCCCTTCTGACTTCAAAGATGAGGACGTGCCTTCACCAACCCCGTGTCTCGCGCCCCCGCAACTACCACTGCTGCCGAAATATATTCCCATCGCGCTGAGGCCACTGTCGTACAACATCCACCGGCCATCGGCTCCGTGACGTCCTGGATTAGGGGTGTATGGTGGCCCAGCCCCGTCGCTATTCTCATTATTGGGCTGCGGTTCTCCGTCGCCTTACCATTCCTATAATTACAAATAAAAAAATATGAAGTATAATATGATGGCAATGTTATAGTATTGCAATAATTTATTGTCTAATAGGTAATCTATATTATATAATACAACTTGAATATTGATTTTTGTTTTTTACAAACTTATATTTCTACGATTTCTTAAAATATCTGTAACCAAAATAAATAAATTTAATATCTATTCAGGAGTTCTTATTTGTTGTCTTCTTATTATTAATGGCTTGTAAAAAAATGACTTAGGCGTTTAAAACTATAAAATATAAAGATAATCAAATATTATTAATATACGTAACAGTAAAATATTTTATGAAGCATATTATTTTAAGAACATTTTATTTCATTTGAACCTTATTCATAAACTATACTGTGGTATAGACAATAATACATATATACACACAATACTAAAAAATATTTTTCAACAGATATTCAGTGGAACAACTTTAAATATCTTTTTTATGCATAAATTATAACAGGTTTTTTGTAACCACTGAACAGTAAAAAAAATTTTATCGCGCTTACTTTTATGACGAAGTTTAATTTACTATAACAGTAAATTGATACCTTGAAAGTTATATAAAAGTATCATATTGTTGTTGTGCTTTAGTCTGATTGTGTGTTCTTACGATTAATTTATCTAAGGTTTAGATATAATGAATAAATGACAGTTTGATAAAAAGTAATTTTATATCATCATATTAATAAGCATCAACCAAGAACGTGATTGACTAAATAACAAATTGCTAATAGTTTTCAGTATATAAGCCTTAACAAAATGTTTCCATCACTCTTTTAAATTTAAAAATGTTAATGAAATTAAACACAATATGGCTCACCGTCTTAGAACTGTAGCAATTCTAGCTATGTTTCAAATGATAACGAAGGCAAGAAATATCATTAAAATAAATTAACTAATAATAAAAATGGTGTACAAAACTCAATTAAATTATATAGCAAATTTGAATATCACTAACTTATTGGTTTTATTTTGCTTGGAAAATTCAAAATACTTGAGTATAACTGCTGCTATAATATACATATACATAGGTGCCTACTTAATATTATAATATAAAAAAGTACCTATTATTTTAATAATATCATTAGAAAATCTGTTTTTTTTTAAATGCTATACTTTCTATGGGCATAATAATTGTTATTTTATAGTATTGTATACATTGTTTTATTTTCTTCGTTAGTTATATAATTATTAATTACAATGTTTCAAAATTGGTCAAAATACAATTCTGATTGAAACCTATAATTTATTTATTATGTATTTATTTATTTACATTATAAATCATCAACAGCTGCTGAAATTACTATAACTATTTATTTGCCGGTGGCGTAATTAGTTTTTAAAAATATAAACGATAATTTAAACATACATTTTGAAAATCCTCAGAATAATATAATAATGTTCCTAGGTGGATGGTATAGGTACTCGTTTAATTTATACATTGTGATATTAAAATACATTTATCTCATAAAGTTAAATGTGTTAATTCTAAATTTATAATTTAATTTTAATTTTTAAAAGCTCACAGTGATAATGTTTTATTTAATCTTTAATTTTATTTAGATCCACTTAGTACAATTTCTGCTCTCGTTATATCAACTAATTTGTAATTATCAAAGTCAAATCTTAATCTTGATCGGTATTCTGTATTTACTGATTTAGATTTGTCGAGTTTATTTCCAACTCCAGTTTCTTCCCCTGAATCATCTTTAGTACCTTTATTGAATTTAATTCCTAGTTCAAAACTAACCCCAGTACTAGAATCAGCTTCGCAATCAATATCTTAGGAAAATCTAAATATAGCTTCACTATAACTTTTATCAAAACACTTCCTTGATTCATTCTAGCTTTACTTTCCTATCTATTTGTTAGCATTATAAAAAATCTTTTATCAACAATAGATAAAAGTGTGTGTCTCTGTGTGTGATTCGAAAATCAAGTTCATATTATGTATGTATACATTAATAATAACCACACACCTTTCAAATTGTTATATGCTATAATGAGTTATGTTAGTTTAATTGAATTACAATACAACTTAAAAGAAGAGTTAAAACACTTAAAACTATAGTTATAAACTCACCATAATCTAATTTCTCCAACGTATTTCTTTAAGACTTTGATTAAAAAAATAGTCATTGCATTTTCGGTTTTTACTGTACATACTTTATATCAGGTTCTGATAGAACCAGCAAATTCCCTCATTTAACTCTGTGGGCCTGATTATATTTTGGAAGATAAATTATTAAACTACATGTTCCAACCCATTTTAACAGTCTTATAGCTATTAAAAGGTCTACAACCCGGTGGGTCAATACTTACCCTATAACCTATCCGGAACTGCCATATATTAAACAATAGGTATATTTATACACCTATCAATCTATCCATTTTCTATATATTTATTAAGCCATTACTGTCTAGTCAACCAAAAAAACCATGATTTTAGTTTTGAATATTTTAATATACCTACAGAATTTTTATTACAAAAATGATACATTTCAATCGTTGGTTTTTATTAGTAATTTATTAAAAAACAATTGAAAATTGGCTAAATGGTACTTATTGTTTTACAGAAAAAGTAGACAGTCAAATTGATATGAATTTGTCAACCTTAGCAACGTAAAAACAACCTAAAACAAATAAACTGCAATTAGATAAAGGCAATATCACTATATGTTAATTGTTACAAGTCTAATATTTGCTCAATGAAACTGAACTGTCCATTGGTATCCCGTAATTCTATGAACATTTAACACTCCCACCATGAATATTATAATATGGATAACTGGACTTCTATTAGCATTTGAATGCGACTCCGGACGACTAACTTGTGTTCCACACTCGTAATTATACATTTCATTATGCATTCAACGACATGAAACAATTATCAGCATGATAATTTAAATCATTTAGACTATACGTTTTCATAATATTATGTTCATAAATCATAAGCCAGCTTAAATTTCATACAAATATTATTAGTACTTAAAGTTTTAATAATAATATTGTTAAAACAATATGTAACTGAACAAATAGTATGATGTATAATAATGAACAGCTAATGCAAATCTCATTTTTTCTTTCATTAACCTTTCTAAAAAAATATATTTTATAAAATATTGTAAAAATTCTTAAAACGAATAAAAACTAGTAATACTAAAGGTAGTTAATTGTATTCCAATATTTGGTTAAATCTTGTTCTTATATTATTATCATTTTGAGTAATTACTTTTGACATTTTTGTTAGTATGTTCCCATAGAAGAGCTATTGCGTGTTTTCTAAATTTTCGATGATGTATAATGGTACATAGTTTTCAGTGGTACATTTATCAACTGTAACTTATTTCATTATAGTTCAAAAATAATGATTTAATTATTTAAACATGAGATGTACACATTGATTAGAAGTTTTGATTCTAGGTTCATCTAAGCAGGTATTACATAATATATTTTACTATTTTAATATAGGTACATTTAGGTATAATCTTATATTATTATAAATGTGTGATATAATATTATTAAAAACCTTAAATAGTAAATACCTTTCAGTTATAATTCGTTGCACAGTTTGATCGTTACTATTACAGTTTGTTGTTATTTCAATTGTATTGAAATATAGTATTTGTATTTTGTATTACCAACTGGCACCCTTGAACGAGTTGAACCACAACCTGTGTGATCCCAAACTAGAACTTGATGTCGTACAGTTCTAACATTCACTACTTGTATATGTTTGTCAGTTTTACTAACTCGATACATTGTGCCATCCAACTCATGAATTAAAAATAATCTTTTAGTGAACTCTATAGACTGTAAAGGGTTATACAATGTAACTTGACTAGGTAATGACTGTTTCGTGAAATTAAGTCGACGCTCCGTAGTTCACTTGATAAATAGTATACTTCATTAACATTAATTTACAATTTACAAGACATATAGGGCCATCATACTTATTATTTAGAAATAAATACGTTAATTTCACATTATTTCCTTTTGGTATCGCTGATCATAATGATATATCAGGTGCATTGAAAACAATCAGTTATAATCTAGAATGCGACGAAAATGGCCAGTATGAGAGAACGCACGCAGTTTTCCCGATTACTCATGTTCTTGTAATGATATCGTAGTTTAAATCTGACTTTATCACCATTATTATTAATCACGTATTACATATGGGTCCGACCAAATTATGACGAACGTAATGTTTTTTGTGGCCCGCAGCTGGTGAAACGAACAAAGTATAAATAATGTGAATTTCAAGAAGAGAATAATATCTGAATATCATATTGAAGCTTTAAGTGTGTTACAACGTAATATTTAACAGAGAGCCAGGCAGTAAAAGAGATGTTATTTTGTACTGAATGCGATTAAAGAACACATTCGAATTAAAAACGGAGCAATATCGTCGTGTATTATAAAATATACATACATATAAGACTGCTGCAATATAACGTGTACACATATATATGAATATATATTATATACCATATATAATATTGTTACAACAAGACAACAGCAACAACAACAAAAACAACAATACTAATAATAACAGCTACTATTATATTATACTCCTCCGCGTCTTCTCCTCTCATAATAATATCGTCTGCCGCCGCCACGGCCAGCCAGTATAATAATAATAATAATAATAATAATAATAATAATATATAATATGTATAATATAAAGTCGGCTGCTTCTCGTCATCCCCGTCCTCGTCCGACCGCGATTTAAACGGATGACGATAACAATAACGATTTCGTCTCTCTCTCTCTCTCTCACACACACACACACACATACACACACACNCACACACACACACACACACACACACACACACACACACACACACACACACACACACACACACACACACACACACACCCAGATTGGTGTAATATCATATCGAAATACGCGTCCGAGCGGTTTCGTAGCGGTATATAATATAAGTATATAGAAAGCTCGTCGACCCGACGTGAACAGAAGGAACGGCGACAATATGATGGCCAGGCGCCCGTCTGCCG